AGGACATCGCTACTAGGATCAAGGACGCTACTAGGAGCAAAGGACATCGCTACTAGGAGCAAGGACGCTACTAGGAGCAAAGGGCATCGCTACTAGGAGCAAGGACGCTACTATAGGGGCTCCTGGCATCGACACTAGGATAAAGGACGCTACTAGGAGCAAAGGGCATCGCTACTGGGAGCAAGGACGCTACTAGGGGCTCCTGGCATCGCTACTAGGAACAAGGACGATATTAGGAGCAAAGGGCATCGCTACTAGTAGGAGCAAGGACGCTACTAGGAGCAAAGGGCATCGCTACTAGGAACAAGGACGCTACTAGGAGCAAAGGGCATCACTACTAGGAGCAAGGACGCTACTAGGGGCTCCTGGCATCGCTACTAGGAACATGAGGAGTGCCCCTGGATCCCCACCGCTGTTTGCTTGGTGCGCTGCGAATCCGACTGTTCCGGTGTGCCGTGTGGACTCGTTCTGCCTTCAAAGGGCCGTGTGGAGGGGAAAGCACGGGAACGCTTGAATCTTGTTGGGGGGAGTGACCTGGGCATTGAAGTAGGTCATCTGTGGTCAACTTCAGTTGCCCAAAGTCCTGAGGAAGAACCCCAAAAGGTTGGTGCAAACGATGTATACTTCGACAAAGTACGCCTTGTAGGCTAAGCACTTCTTGAGTAAGAGAGATCTTTTATGGTTGTAAGATGTTGTAAGTACTTATATACCCAGGCCATGTCCCAACTTGGGTTGTACTTCCCCAGTATGAGCCACTGCTTGGTTCTACCCGGACTGCCGGTCAGTCTCGCCCGGCCCCGTCGCCAGGGGTGGCGGGGTGTGGTTGCAATTCACCGGCCGCGACTACGACGAACCAGAGGACGTGATGTCCATGCATCCCACCCACGGTGCGCCGGTAGAGAGACCGAGCAAACCACGGCGTCGCGATGCGTCGCGATGCGTCGCGACGCGTCTATTGGGACCACGCGTCGTTATGGAAATGAGGACTTGCAGTTTGGTTTAAGAGTTTTAAGATTTTTCAGAATGAAGAGACGACGTGGTGGGGTTGAAGGAGTCGGCTCAATGTCATGGTTGGGCTATTTTAAGTAGCTTGAAAATACCTTACATTACTGTCATTAAGTTAATGAGTCTATAACAATCAATAGTAATCAATAGTAACTGTAATACATTTTGCTGCGTCAACGTGGTTTGTCGCTGTTAGATGCTTTTAGCCGTCCAGACACATCGACCGGCTGTTCAGTCTACTTAAGTAGGTACTGCAAAAGCGGCACTAGGAGCATTAGGTAAGGCAGGAGCAACCAATTGCAAACTTGCAAACCATAGCCGACTTATTGGCTACTTCTCGGTTCTGGGTCTCGAGGGTTGCGTGTACAGCTGGAGGGACGTGCCTCTCAGCCTATCATAGCACGTCCTTCCTTTGACCCACATGGCCGGTAGAACTTGACATGGGGTTGCAGTTGCAGCAAGCTTTGGTATCTTTTGAGCTCACGAGATTCTGCTGCGGCACAGCACACATCAGCGCACAAATTTCGTGGCGGTTTGATTTCTGCCGCGCTCCGCGAGTGCCATCGAATGCCTCCGGTATGGAGCTCTTGAGTGTGCTGGGCAGCTTGTTGAGTGGCTTGGATATTTTGGATTGAATTTCACAATGGAGCATATGGAGGATGGAAGATCAATGCCATTGTGCTTTGAGCTGATGATCAAAGACAGAGACGACCATTCTTTTAGGCTTGGTGGCGTTCCTGATTTGGTGACTTGGTGTTAGAACAACACCACGCTTGTGTCATTGCTTAGAAGGAACGCTTTGAGCGAGGTGTTTGTGCATCCGTGGCTTTTGGGAGCATCCTTTGCCCCCGATCACCGTTTGCAAAGCCGAGTGCGGCAGCGCCGCCATTAAATTTCACGCCGGATTGGATTGAGCTATAGCTTCGCAATTTGCACGTCCTGAGCCACACAGCCACACCCACATCTGGATGCCCGCAGTTAGGTCAAAGAGCTGGGTGCTGACCGTTGATGTCCCAGTTTGAGAGAGGATGTGATATGTTTCCGCCGTGTCATAGCCGCTTCTGCGCGAAAAGCGGGGTGCCGCTGCCGTCTGGGCCGTTCTTTGATTCCCTTTTGGTGCCTTTCCATGGGGTCCCCTTGAGAGGCTTTGTGGGCCACGTTGTTGCCACCTTTGGTGGCTCATTGGGCCATCCTTGTTCGTTGAAGTGGCTCTTTTTTGGGCCATGTGTCTTTGCATTTCTGGTCCGGTGTTTGGTCCAATTAACTTGTTATTTCCATTGCGTGGATCATGTACATGTTGACCTTCACCTTCCACTGTTGGATTGGCCCAACTAACAGTGGCCCTAAGACATCCCATTTCGCACCGCTCACTGATGAGAGAAAACCAATCGGTCACTGCGCTTGGGCGGTTCCACTAACAGTGGTACCGCGGAGCCCTGGCTGAAGCATGGGAGATCCAGGAGAAGGCGGCGAATGGGTGGAAAGGGACCAGGCGAGCTTTTCGACCGGCCGCGGTGTGGCACGAGGGGAAGATGGACGAGGTTCGCTCGATGGCTCAGGCTCAGATGGGTCTGGCTATCGGGATAGAGAGCCCCCGCCATCCTACACGGGAAAGGATCCGGAGGCGACCTTCCAAGCCTTCGAAAGAAGTGTGAAGCTGTGGGAGTTCGAGACGGATGTTCCCCGTACGAAGAGAGGGCAAAACTGGTCAGGTCCATGCAGGGTTTGGCCAGGTTGGCAGTGGAGGACAAGCCCTTCGACGACATAGCGTGCGAAAGCGGAGTCGCCAATGTGATGCGGCGTCTTCGAGAGTTTTTTTATGCCCCAACTATAGAAGTGATCAGTCTTCCTAGGGCGCGTTCGAACATGCAGTCTATGGCCAGCATCGCTCTAGCAAAGAGGGGTTTGCGGAGTACATTGGTCGTATGGAGAAAGCTTTTGCTCGCTTGTCCCGCGAAGGGGTAGATTTACCCGATGGAGCTCAGGGCTACATTTTGTCTAGGCACGCTTCTCTGTGTGAACACCAGGACCAGCGATAGCTCACATGTTGTGATGGGAAGTATGACAAGAGCTCCGTAGTGAAGGGTCTTCGAAAGTTGGACAAAGTCATCAAGGAGAGAGGAAAGAGTCACTTCGTCGCTGAGGACCAGAAGAATGCCTTCGAGGACGATGACATCGTGATGGAAGATGAAGAGCACATCTATGTTGCTGAAGGAGATTTGGGCATCATCTATGAGGAGAAGGACATCCAGACGGCGCCCGCCTCCTACCGTGAAGCTCGTGAAGCATTGAAGAACCAGAAGCTTGGCCGAGGATATTTCCCGCCTAAAGGACGAGGGAAAGGTGGAGGAAAACATCGGGTGCATGTGGAACAGCTCAAGCTTCGCACTCGCTGCTGGAAGTGCAGCGCCATCGGCCATTGGGGTCGAGAGTGCGCACATCCGGAGAAGTCAAAGCTGACTGGTGGTCCGGGCTCCAGCGCATCTTCTACAAGTTCGGCGTCCGCCAAATCCGGTTTCTTTGTAGCTTCTCACTTCTCACCCTGAACATGAAGCGGATGGCTCCCATTTTTGGTTGAGAGAGCTTGTTCAGGATTTTTGCAAAGCCGACGGCCAATCAACTGGCTGCGACGGCGCCCGGGCAATCGAGTCCGAGTACGAGGGTGCGAGTGCGGCTTCTTTTTGTGGCATTACAACCAAGTCACATGAAGGGGTGGTAGACACTGCAGCTGAGGGAGGACTCATCGGAACAATGGCCCTCAAACGTTTGGAACAAGAGCTACATGCCCTGGGGTTGAAGTGAAAAGTGGACACCAAAACAATCTTCAGCAAAAAGTTGAAGGAGGTCAAGCAAGAGTAGTTGGAGTAGTCTGGATTCCTATCGGGCTGGCTGGAGTGAACGGCATTTTGGAGTGCACGGTAGTTGAAGGTGAGGTCCCTCTCCTACTTCCCGTTCAGATGCTAAAGCAGTTGAGAGTTGTTTTGAACTTCAAAGATTACACGTTTTTCATGTCGGAGCACGGCCTCACCATTTCCATGAACGAGATGCCCAGCGGACATGTCACATTTGATGTATTGCAATTTCATAGTGATGGCTTTTCAGTGCCGAGAGAAGCAAGGCATGCTGACATGAGCGATTTCACTCAGAACTGCTTTTTGGGAGATACATGTCGGCTCAGTTGGACGGTGATCGAGACCTGGACGCCACCTCTGAACGTTCTGCCGCACGCCTTCCGGAAAGCAATGGCAGCTCTGATGCAGCGCTTGCAGCACCTGGCCGGCAGTCCAACCTCCCAGACGGAAAGGAAGAAGAAGCCCATGGACGGCACGTTGAGATCCAAGGTGGCAATCCGTGGCTGGCGAGTCATTCTCGACAAGATTTCCACGCTCATCGTGTTCATCGAGCGCCAATCCGTCGTGCAGGAGTGGTTTCCGCAGTTGCCTGTGGGATCGCCATTGCCACAGGAGGAGGAAGGGCCGAGCTCGCTGGAGAGCGTGTACGCCGAGATCATCGTCAATGCCAAAAAGCTGGAACCGTTGAAGTCCAAGGAGAATCCCAAAGTCTCGGCGAGCAACTGTGTCCACCCCAAGTCCAGTTTGAAAGGGGGTGGCCACCGCTCGGTGTCCTACATCACACGCAAGGATTGCCACAGCCGATGGGAGAAAGAGATCAAGAGTTTTCCATCAAGGAGGACCGCAAGATGGTGATCAAGGGCCACTTGAGTCAGTTCATGGAGGTCGAAGTCCAGCACGGTGAATGCAAAGATCCAGGAACATGCAGACAAGGCAGCCCTGTAAAGGCAGATGGCTTCGACGAAGAAGGAGCTGGAAGAGCAGCGCATCGAGATCCGTCAGAAGAACATTCAGACTCAAGCACTGGCGGACGCGCTGCAGAGGGCAGAGATCGAGAGGCAGATGCGCGAGGTGGTTCCGGAACCTCCCGAACTTCCTCTTTGAGTCCAACTCGAGAAGTCTGGCATCGAGAAGGTGGAAACTCCTGTGAACCCTCCTCTTGTCAGTGCCACAAACCATCGGAGCTGGTGGTGGTGAAGAAGGAAGGGCCCAGGCGAGGCAAGAAGTTTTGGAAGTGCACCCAACGGGAGCGCGAGTTCTTCCAATGGCAGATGAAGGAAGATCAAGATGCCATGTCGGTGACTTCGTTGAGCCTGATGACCATGGAGGTAACCAGCCAGAGAGCCAAGAGCCCCAGAGTGGAAAGGAAGAACAAGACGCCGATCAGGTCGCAAGGGCCGATCGAGGTGGACAGCGATGGTCTGCTGTGAGACAAGACAGAGGAGGTTGGATGAGGGCGGACAGCGTCGCTGCTCGCAACTGGCTACGAGCGCAAGCAAAAACCCAAAACCAGAGAGGAGTCTTCAAATTGTCTTCCAACTACGAGGCACTGGATGAAGATGATGGCGAGCGGAAGCCCGTGACTGACCTCGTCGAATATAGTCGCCCGCTTCGAGTTTGGGCTCAGTTCCAAGATCGAGCCCTGTTGGAGGAAGTTGATGATGTGACTCTGTGACGAAGACCAAAGCTCTCTCAAGAAGAAGTCGCAGAAGCCTCATGCAAGACATGGAGAAGACCGCAGCTCGAACTATGAAGAAGGCTACGGTCGCTGAAGTGTATATTCTCCTCCCAAGGTGGCGAAGAAGGCCAGTGAGATCAAGGGAGCTCAATTTGATGTCAGAGACGGGTGGGACCTGAGAAGTCCAAAAGAAGGATGTGCAAGACACTTCAGGAAGAAGATCCTGATCTCATAGTTCTCTCTTCTCCATGTGGACCTTTTTCACACATGCAGAACATCAGTTACCCTCGAATGTCCAAGGTGATGGTCATCAACCTGTTGACGGAGGGCATTCACCACATTCAGGTGTCCATGCTGGTCGCGAAGTGGCAATGGAGGAGAAAGAAAAGTTCCTATTTGAGCAGCCCAAAGACGCCAAGTCATGGCAGGAAGAAGCCATGAAAGAAGTGGCAGCCCTGGAAAGAGTCCTCAAGATAGAATGTGACATTTGCATGTTTGGCCTGAGAGTGGGGCGACGCCTCAACAAGAAACCCACGGGACTGATGACGAATTGTGAAGAAATTGCGGAGGAGATGAACAAGAAGTGTGACCATACTCACTTCCATGAGCCGCTCGAAGGCAGCGGGAAGACAAGAAAGGCACAACCATACACTCCACAGTCGTGTCAATCCATTCTCAAAGGCTTCAAGAAATACCTTCGTCGCCAGACCAAAGACAAGGCGCAGTTCTTAGGTGAGAACCTGGATGACGAAGAGGAAGATGCCTTGGATCAACAAAGACTTCCGGATGAGGTCGAAGAAGAACCAAGGAAAGATGAAACGATCAGCAGCTATGAGCCCACAGTGCAGGAGAAACAAGTGGTGTTGAAGCTGCGCAAAGGAGTGGGACATCCGCAAATGCCGGAGCTGATTCGTTTGATGAGAGCGGCAAGAGTCCGCGGAGAGATAGTTCAATGGGCTGCCAAACACTTCAAGTGCGAGGCCTGCGCCGCCAACCCAAGGCCGAAGACAGTTAGACCCGTATCTATGCCTCGGACGTATCAACCCTGCAAGGTCATCAGCATGGACCTCATCTTCATTCCCGAAGTGGGTGATGGCAGGGAGTTCCCAGCACTTTCCATCGTTGACTGGGGGTCCAACTATCAAATGGTGGAAAAAGTCAGTGACAAGCAGCCGGAAACTATGTGGTCAACCTTGTGGAGCACTTGGGTGAGAGTGTTTGGTTTGCCGGAAGTACTGGTCGTTGATGTCGGAAAGGAATTCTCTCAGCGGTTGATGAGTTTAGCTGGCGCCAACGGCCAACGGTGTGGTCTGTCACCAGATTGGAGCTCGGGCACCATGGCAACAAGGCCGAACCGAACGGCATGGAGCTCATTTCAACTAGTTGCTTGAGAAGGCCAGAGCTGAGACAGTGGTGAGCAACGAACATGAGTTGAGCCGGCTGATGCAAGAAGTAGAACTGGCCAAGAACAGGTACTCCAATAGATCTGGACACTCCCCGGTCCAGAGACAGATTGGACAATGGCCCAGGATGATGGACTGCACCATCACGGACGATCTCATCGACGCCTCACTGATGGAAGCCGCTACAGTTGATGATTTGGAAAGGCAATTGGAGCTGCGAAGAGTCGCCCAGAAAGCCTTTGTGGAGCACAACGCAAAGGCGACGATCCAGAAGGTCAGGAACACCCAGAGCCGAGTGGCTCAAGAGTTCGTTCCAGGAGACTACATCTATGTCTACCGGGTTCCTCGCCAAAGAAAGAGAAGAGTTGGAGGGACAGACTTCATTGATAGAGCCACCGCCAAACCTTACTGGGTTGGCCCAGGCACAACCATCACGGTTGATGGAGCGAACCTCTGGATCAGCATGTTCGGAGAGCTGTGGAAGACAGCCAAAGAACAATGCCGGGTGGCCACCAATGTCGAGAAGCAAGGCATCGAAATCATTCTTGAAGACTGCCGTGAGCTAATAGAAGAATACCGCAAGAACGCCAACAGGGCGGGATACAAAGACTTGACTGAGGAGCCACGGCCAAACGAAGAAGCAGAAGAAGAATCTGGAGCCCATGGAGAAAAGAGACGAATGGACCTTCCAGAAGAAGAACCATCGACGAAGAATCCAGGATGAAGAAAGGCACTCCGGAAGAAGAATGCACGCCCACCTTGGCTGACGGTCAAGAAGGAGGTCTTCCAGCTAATGATCAGGCCAGAAACCATGAATCCCCGTCAGAAGAAGAGCCTGAATCCGAAGGAGGGCAAGGAAGTACAGAAAGAGATGAAGAAGGTGGAGTAGAGCCTCCCAGGAAGGATGAGGTGACGAATGTGCCACCGGCACGCCCGTCTGACGAGGCACCTACGCAAAGCTATCGCAGATCTATCGCGATGGCTGACAGACTTGACGGAGTCCCACCATACGGCCGGTCATTGAGGTGGAGAGACACCTCGGACACTCGATGCAACCCATATTGTGTGGAGGTCAGTTTGATGGAGGAAGACGAAGCCAATGAAGAAGAAGAAGACCGAAGACATGTGTGGCTCAGTGAAGAGCTGAAAGGTGGCAAGAAGATGGATTGTTGGGAGTTTGTGAACAACGGACGAACCCTGCGAAGACACCATGTCAGGAAAAGGAAGATGCCTTTTGATCCGCAGACGGCCAAAGATCTTCCATGCTCCTTGGAAGAGCTCACCGATGATAGATTCACGCTCAACTAAGTATGGAGTCGACCAATCTGAAGTGAGCCAAAAGGATCAATGGACCGGCGTGTCTGAGACGCCTGATTCCAAGTGGTGGAAAGGATATACGGAGTTCCAACTGAAGTCCTCCGAACCAGAAAAAGAAACAGAATCCTGCCGTCGAGGATGCTGAGAAAGTACAAGCATGCTGAGCCACCAGGGCAACCTCCAGTGAAGAAGAGCAGGTTGTGCATCGTGGAGGCCAGGACCCCGATCCTTTGCTGCTTGAACGATATAAATATAGCCCAACAGTCACTACCATCAATGTGAATGTCGTCCTGCAACTGGCAGCGAACTTGAAGTTTCCCATAGCCCTAGGCGAATTGAAGAACGCCTTTTGCCAGTCGTTGGTCAGCTCCTTGACCAGCTTGGGATATGTGCAATCCTGTATGGATCCATGTCTCTTCAAGCTGCACCATAGAGGGCTTCTATCGGGGCTGGTGGCCATAGAAGTCGATGATTTGCTGACGGCTGGTAATGAGTTCCACCAAGAAAAGGTGAAGCAGCTTCAGAAGCTTTAACAGTTTGGCAAATGGGTGGAGCTGATGAAGACCCCAAAAGGAGCTGGTTCAATGGAAGACGGCTGAGGCAGAAAGAAGACTTCGGCATCCTCATTGACATGCAGGAAGTTTTTGGAAGAGAGACTCCAATGCATGGACATAGAGCCGAAACGCAAGAAAGAGAAAAATGAGCCAGTCACAGAAGAAGAAAGAAAGAAAGAAAGCTCGCATGATGTGCGGAGCTTTGAATTGGCTCTCCAAAGAAGGACGACCCGGCGCTTCATCGGCGGCAAGCTTGTGTTCGTCAAGGATCAACAAGCTGGTGGTCGAAGATTTGATGATGATGAATGAAGTTGTGAAAGGCATCAAAGAAGATGCCGATCCGACCTTACAGATCCGACCACTAGAACGCATGAAGCTGTCAGTGGTCACAGATGCCTCCTAAGCCACGAAGAAGGCTTGGAAAAAGGAGAAAAAGTCACCACCAATCTTTTGTGGTGGAGAAGTGGCAGGCTTCAAAGAGTCGTCAATTCGACCTTGGCTGCTGAGACACAAAGCTTGAGCAAAGGCTTGGGTGATTTGATGTGGATGATCGTATTGTTCAGGGAGCTCAAGGAAGAGAAGATAGTGCTGCGTGAATGGGCTCGGAACCTCGGAAAGGAAAGCATCATGGCAGTGATGTGCAGTGGAACGACAGAAGAGCTTCGAGGAAGCCTGGCAGTGATTGACGCCAAACGCTTGTACGACCACCTCTCTAGAGAGACGATAGGTGGTGGTCAAGATCGCCGCAATGCCATTCACATCCAGATCGTCCGAGAGGACCTGAAGTTGCTCGCAGGACAAGTTCGATGGGTGGCAGACACCCTCACGAAGCTGAAGGGTTCTAAGCACTCCTTGTTCCAATTTTGAAACCGGCAAATTCAGCATTAGTGCAGAAGAAACAGTCATGACCGATCGAAAGGAAGAGAGGTCTGAAGGACGGTCTGCTGCTGATATTAGGAAGAAAGGTTTGAAGGTCAAAGAAAACTTTGGGAGCTGTTATTTCCATTGCATGGATCATGTACATGTTGACCTTCACCTTCCACCGTTGGATTGGCCCAACTAACAGTAGCCCTAAGACATCCCATTTCGCGCCGCTCGCTTGAGAGAAAACCAATCGGTCACTGCGCTTGGGCGGTTCCGCTAACATAACTATTCATTCTTTTTTCATTTGCAACTGTTCAGCTCTCTGCCGAAATCCGTCATTGAGAGCCCAGAATCTAAAGTGCTCCTTCGGGCCATGTCTGAGGATGCTTCGTGCCATGTTACACTGCTGAACCAAGAGCTGACACTGGGGCATTGGCTGAGCAGTTACTTGTCCAAAGCTGATGATGCAGTTCGGATTGAGGCCCAGACTGGATGCCATGTGACAATTCGATCTTGCCGAGGTCATGCGAGGCAGCTGTCGGTCATCGGGCCAGGGGCCAGAGTTGAACGAGCTCAGGGATGATGGCAATCACTGCGGCGACTGGACTCAATGTCTACCATCCGCTCCGAGATTTCTACCAATTGTATCCAATTGTGGCACCAACGCTGTCAAAGGTGTCTGCTTCAACGCCGCCAAAGGCATTTGCCCCAAGAGCTGCCGCTTACATACTGTTGATGCGCAGGTCTTCAGCCGGATGCGGCCAGGTGCTGTCAAAGGTTTGTGCATGTGCTGGATTGCTCTGTACTTTCTGTGGTTGCTGCGACCTTGCGTCCCACCATGATTTCCACCGAGATGTCCTTCGTCACGTCTGCCACGACCGTTCTTTCAGTGCAATCATTGTGCCTTCCTTGTCATGGGTGCAAGCACAACCTCGCCGAGCGTACAGCCTTTCAGTGACTGCGACGACGACGACGATGACGACGACGAGTACTCGTGCTGCTGCTGCTGCTGCTGGTAATGGTTTCTTGTTCGAATCCATGACCATTGTGGTCGTTGACCGTACTCCATGCCAATTGAAGCCTCGGCCAGGTGCACTTTGTCGATCCTTTGTCCAAGAGTCCCCCGTGCTCGCAGGTGCATTGTTGGGGGAGCGGTGGGGAGAAGGTGCAGACTAGGGGTGTACTAAGCACGTGCGTGTCTACAAGGCACGTGGCACTTGGAGACGCTGATCTTGAAGCAGAAACTGTGGATATGTAAATAATGTAAATACACGTATATGAAAAGGAGGAGGAGGAGGGGAAGGAGAAAGGAGTTATGGTGAAGATGAAAAACCAACAGTACAGATAATGCTAGTGGTGACGTTAGTGATACGATGACTCGCAGTTACACAACATCGGAGATTGACGAATGACGTCCATTTGTTAGTTACATGTCTGCATGTTTGTGGATCTGACTGATTGCTGAAAGTGTCGTTCTGAAGTAGTGTGGCCTGTTGTGCAAATTGGTAAAGCAATGCACTTGAGGATTATTTACCCCCAGTTACCTGTCCTCGCTTTCAGAGTTGTGCTCCGGTGGCACGGCTGGCGCCGTGCACGGCCCGTGTTGTGCAGACTCGCGGGCGGTGACCGGAGGCTCCTTCGCAGCGGGCAGCTGGTCTTCCAGCAGTTTCTTCAGCGGCCCTCGACCGCCATTCCTCATCTTGTGGTTTGTCTTCATGAGCCTTCAAAGTCGGGGAGTAGTCACTAGCTCGGAGGTGCCAACAAGTGCAGATGACACTGGAGATGCTTCTGAGGATCTTGACCATGATGTTCTCTGAGCATTCAAGGAACATTTTAACAGAGATTGCGTCAGCATGGGCCAAGAAGGAAAATCTTAGGCGACAGACCTGCGTACTGGGTTCCATCCCACCCACTGAGCCACTTCTTTCAGATGTGATTCATGTTTGCAAGGTCAAAGGTTCTGGCAGTTTCAAATTGTGGTCCTACAGGGCTCACAGGGTAGGTTGCATGTCAAATGTACAGTTCCAAGACTTTCAGTTGATTCAGTGCAGATATTTGCATATATTAAACATAACAAACATACAGTATTACATACATTAGAACACACCAGCATTGGTCAAAATTACTTTGCTAAACCAAGCCAGGGTGATGCTCATAGGATTCTACAATGTTTGCATCCACTTCCTTGGATCGTTTGTTTTGACCAGCCAAACAGCAGCTTCCCGACGGGCCTTCTGAAACCAAGGTGGGGTGGCGAGTTCCGCACGACGCAAAGTGCGGCGCAGGAGACAGAGAGTGGACCGGACTTGGGCGAACAGTGGACACAAGACCCCAAGGGGAACACAGCTGAAACAGCGGCTGTTCAAAAGACCTGGATTCGTGCTCTCTAGGAGCTATTAGGAGCTGAACATGTCCTTTTCAAGGTCTTGTGAAACCAATGATTCGGAAAGAGTTCGTCCAACGGACTGCAGAGGTTTCAAAGTCCGAAGGACGGGGCATGCGGAGGTATGTTATTTCTAGGCTAGCATTTTTGGCTTTTGGATGAGTTCCTTTGAGTGATCAACAGAAACAGCATCGCCACATGCAATCCAGACGCATGACTCATTGACCGATTATTTCAAGCCAAACTCTCAACTGCAGCTCGACGTTGCTTCTCCTCTCTTTTTGGGTCAGCTCCTTTTCGTTCAATTGTTCATAAATGGCGAGTTCAGGATCTGGCGAAGGCTGCACAGCAGAAGGGCTTCACTGTAGATGTGAAAAGTTTGGACGAGGCCAGGACGGTTAGAGTGGATGGAAGATCATGGGAGCCGGGAGCTGGTTGGAGCTAGCTACACCTGGGATCAGATTATGACTCTTATGACCACGTGACATTTTATGGCATCATAGTGCCACTAATTTGAGCAAGTCTACAGGCTCAAGGGTTTTGTTGGACTTGAGTGATTTTTGATCTTAAATAGTAAAACCGCTCCCTCCCTGAGCCAACAATCGAGGGAGACTGGATGGAGTGAACTCCACCAAAACTCTTCGGGAATTAGTAGTAGTGGTTGGTGGTGGTATTGGTGGTGGTGTTGGTGGTGGTGATCGTAGTAGTAGTAGTAGTAGTAGTAGTAGTAGTAGTAGCAGGAGGAGGAGGAGGAGGAGCAGTAGCAGTAGCAGTAGCAGGAGCAGGAGCAGGAGCAGGAGCAGCAGCAGCAGCAGCAGGAGGAGTAGGAGTAGGAGTCGGAGTCGTTGTCGTTGTCATAGTCGTTGTTGTCGTTGTACTGGTGGTGGTGGTCGAATCCTATGATTGGTTCAATGGCAGGGTACCAGCCTCCAGATCAACAGTAGTGGTTTTCGAAAAAAGGTTTGCAGGAAAGAGTGCCAGGAATCAAGCAAACCTCAGAAGGGTTAAGCAAGGGTCTAAAAGGGCATCAATATCAGATGTGGCGGTGGTGGGGTTGTGGTGGGTTAGTTCAAATTAGATCAATGACACAACAGATCTTTTGAAAAAGGGCGGGCAGAAAAAAAGACCTTAGGAGCAAGGACGCTACTAGGGGCTCCTGGCCTAACTACTAGGAGCAAGGACGCTACTATATGATTATTCCCAACCACTCAATGAATCACTGGAAGAAGCTACCCGGAACAATCACAATGGTCTCACTTGTTGAAGCAAGACGGGAGCCATCAATGCATATGAACACATTGATGGCTCACGCAGACCGCAGATGTGACTTTGGACACGACTGATCCGAACTCCAAGGGTTCCGATTGTGTTCTTGCACGTCTGACATTTTTTCCGGAGGTGAAGCCCTCGGAGTTGCTGGGTGGCAAAGTGCAGCTGGGAGGTCAAGCACCTCTTGTCCTGCTCTTGGTGGCCACGCCCCTTGATCCTCCAGCAGAGTTCGCTCAACGGTGTGTGTGTGTGTGCCCCTTGTAGTCACAGGCATTCTTTTGAATTGTTTTCTTTTACAATGAGCAGGGGATGTTGTCGCCCATGGACACTTGGATGGCATGGGCCAACGAAGACCCATCCAAGCTGTTGTGAAAACGTACCTGCTTGGTGCACCTGGGCACATTGTAAGACGCAGCTGGTGGCCACCTCTCATTCTCTTTAAAGGGCTAATGCACTCTGCAGACAAGAGCGATCGCCGTCACTTCGACCTGTTCGTCGTCTCGTGGCTTTGGAACTCTGGCCTTTAACTACAGGCGCTCAGGCCCCCTCACCTGGTTTTTCAGGATTTGGGTTTCTTAGGCTGGCGTGTGGCACCGCCGTCAAGTCAGTATGCATATCCATAAGTGTGTTTGGCCTCGTGCCAGTCCGGGATGAGCCCGTAGAGTGCCTCCCGTGGACCCGTCGAACGGGAGTCTGTCGAACGTATCCCCTGCCTGGATACAGAGCAGCTCGCAGCGAGCGTAGGTGGCCTAGGCCGAGAGAACTCAGATTTTTGTCCAAATTGGGAATTCCAAGTTGGCTCATGCCTTTACGTGACCGCAGCGGTCAAAGCAGCCAGCCATTTTGGCAAGGCGCAAGGTGACCATAGCGGTCAAAGCATCTCCTGGGTGCGTTGGGGCCCGTCGCCACCTCAGGTGCACACACACAGTATGTACATGTTCAACGAGGCTTGCCTAGGTTCTTTAATGAGGTTTGGGTTCATCGGTTCTCGTCCCCTCCATTTGGTTCCCTTTTCATCCTTTTCCCCTTCACACACTTCTGTTTTCCTCTTTTCTTTCATGTCCCACTGTCTTCATGTCTTTCATTTCATCCTTTCTTTCGTTTGCGCGCGCATTGGTCCCGGCCTTAGCGTGTACGTGCACAACTACATGTACTTGAAACATAGGTTTTATGTGGCCCAGGTCTTTATAATGAGGTGGGTTTCATTGTTTGTCCCTGTGCACTTGGTTCTCCTTTCACAACCACATACACCTTTGTCCCATCCCGTCCTCTTGTCATGTCTTCATTCTTTTTCTCTCGCGCGCGCACACGTGCACATTTGCCTTAACCTTAGTTTTGTGCCCCTTGTAGTCACAGGGATTCTTTTGAATTGTTTTCTTTTACAATGAGCAGGGGATGTTGTCGCCCATGGACACTTGGATGGCATGGGCCAACGAAGACCCATCCAAGCTGTTGTGAAAACGTACCTGCTTGGTGCACCTGGGCGCATTGTAAGACGCAGCTGGTGGCCACCTCTCATTCTCTTTAAAGGGCTAATGCACTCTGCAGACAAGAGCGATCGCCGTCACTTCGACCTGTTCGTCGTCTCGTGGCTTTGGAACTCTGGCCTTTAACTACAGGCGCTCAGGCCCCCTCACCTGGTTTTTCAGGACTTGGGCTTCTTAGGCTGGCGTGTGGCACCGCTGTCAAGTCAGTACGCATATCCATAAGTGTGTGTCTGTGTGTGTGCCCGAGTGCGCGGAGTTTGGATTTTCGATGTGGTCTAAGCAAGGATACGTGAGTGTGGTGTGTATGGTAGCTTGTTTGCACTTGATGCAATTCAAACAAGCAGACCAGAAGCAAAATCAGACATAATCTAGCTGATTCTGGCTGCACAAACACAAACACACACGCGTTGGTCAGTGGTGCACTACCTCTTTTTTTCGGTCTTGTTCCTCATCCAGTGCCTCAAGGATTTTGCTGAGCGATGCTGAGCCTAGGAAAATACTAGTTACTAGTGGAAAAAAAGGGTCCCTGGAATTCCAAGAATACCCAAGGAAGAATCAAGTAAGATTGAACTGGAAGAAATTTCACAGTTCATTACATTCGTTTTCATTGCTGCTTATACAGGTCGGCAGTTTTGGCCACTGAAGGCATGGAAGCTGAGCTCGCCATGGTTGGTGAAGTCAGTGCCAGCAGTTTGGTAGACAGTGGGGGATGTCCAGAGGGGCCGATATGTTTTGCCGTGTTGAACCTGAAATCAGGTACAATGGGCATCCGCCAGAGCTGCTTGCCTGAAACAACTGAATATAGAATGCATAGAGAATGCATAGCATTGGCCTGGGAAACATCTCCCTATTGGCCAATGTTTTTTGCTTCACAAGATAGCATCTCACTCTATTGTTTAGAATGTTTTTTCTTGAAACGAGAACACTACAAGGCACTTGCGAAGATTATGACAAGGCCTTGATTTCCACAACGTCAACAACTGCCTAGCCAGAGAATGCTGTAGACTGTAGAGGTGCTTGGTTGCAATGCACGACATATTGCAATTTCGAGTCCACCAAACCACACACACACCACATTAAGGGAAGATGAAAGAAGAAATGCCACAGTGCAGCACGGTGCAGGTGAACTCTTGCTGACATGTTTTTTCCATTCTGAAGAAGAGAAGAGAAGAGAAGAGAAGAGAGGCTCATGTTACTTCATGCGCCATGACCGTGGTCATGGTGTGGCATCCCGGGGGGGGTTCAGGTCCTGGATCTCAAAGGGACTTCCAACCTCGGAATGAGTTCCAGGATACAATAGGGGCCCAGTGATGTTTGCCTCTTGTCAAAGCAAAGTATCCCAATGAGGTGAAGCATCACTCCTAGTTATTCAGCTTGCTTTCGCTTGACCATGCACCACACCATGTTCCGGGTATTTAGCGGAATAGTCTATGTCAATGTGTTCAATCTGGGATGCTGTCAGAATCCCATTTGCGTCGTGTCATGCCACTCCGTGCTGCTTCTTCAGGAATGCCGCAGCCTTCACCCGGGCACTAGCCCAGATGCCTGATGGAGGCGGGTTAGGGTGGGAGATGGTGGAAGAAAAGATGTTGACATACTTTATATATTTACAAGAGTTGCCAAGGAAGGGTTCAAAGAAACAGCCCCAAATTGTCCAGAAGCATTTGTGGCACCTATTGGCATCTTGGCATGTTTCAAAACCTGTCATTCCAGGCATTTCAAGGGTACAGAGATATACAGAGCCCCAGACTGAACGTTTGAATAAGTGGGGACGTTCCGAGGCCCATCGGATCTGAAATACGCGGTGCTTGGGGTGCCTCGGCCGGAGAGTTGCAGGAGAACACGGGGTGAATCGGTCGTCGCGGACGTTCTCAAAACGGGAATTTACAATGAGGTGGACAGTGACATCGGTCAGTGGGGTGTCAAAAGGTGTCGAAGGGCCCTCCAAAAGTACATCAGAGAGGAGGTGATGTTTCATTCCCAGGAGCTTGCGTTGGGGCCACACCCAGGTAGATATGAACTAGATGAACCGACCCGAAACATGCGTTATGTATTTTGGTTGATCAGCTATGGGCTATGGCTACAACGGCTATAACGACTGCTCCATGGCCGTGGAGTGGCTTGAGGAGTTGGCTGGATTTCCATCGTCAGAGAGCAGGTTTCCGAGGCGGTTCACAAGACACTTTAGAAGGACCCATGACCCATTGACCAAAAACATGTATACTGTATACTATACATTGCAAGAGGCAGCAGCAAATCTATTTGATGGTCATGTTTTGGAAGCATTGGATGCATGTGGGTAGTTGCTCCAAGTGGTTTTATATCATGACTACTCGTAACACCAACTACGACCAGAGGAATCGTTGGTTTGGCGTTCTGGACGCCCGTGCACTGTTATTTGTTGTGTCACAATTTGTTTCCGAATCTATAGTCCAAAGCCGTCGTTGTTCTAAATTGCTTTTGTTTGCGCTCGGTCAAACCATGTCAAACCCAAGATGTGGATGTGCCCGGTTGTCCATTCATTGGAGATGGGTCTACCAGGTTGCCATTGACCCTATCATGGTGCATCCTCGGGATGTGGAGGGATAAGAGACTGGTTGTCAGATGGGCAAAGCTGACGTCAAAGCTGACGGCATAGCTGCATAGCTTTACCTCTGTCTCACCTTGACCCGCTATGGCCCGCTGTTTGTTAAACCTTTTGGAGGCACCGGACCGAGATCTCAGACCTATTGTCGCGTGACTGGTTGAGGTGGGCAACTCCCAATGGGTCTCGACCTTTGTGAAGGCAATGCGCAACGCGCCCGGAGAGATGCCTCAGCGAAGTCGAAGATGGGAAGGTGTGAACAAGGGCGCTACTAGGGGCTCCTGGCCGTACTACGCTCCTGGCATCGCTATTAGGAACAAGAAGCTACTAGGGACTTCTTGTAAAGAAGCCTGCTAGTTCGCCATAGTTCACGCAGTTCATGCTGTACACTCAGTAAAGACCCCAAACATGAGCAGCAGATAGCAGAAGTGACCAGAATTGTTAGGGATATTAGGATATTAGGATATTCATGGATATTTGTGTTGTTTTGATATCTTGATTGAATCCACTGCCATTGGTCGACGGTCTTGGGCTTTTGCTGTCACCGCGACATGTGAAGCGTCACTTTCTCAACCTGCCAGGGAGAAACCGGTGCTTTGAAAACAGTCAGAAAATGGCAGAAAAAGATAAGCAATTTCATTTGAGTGCGAGTTAAGAACATCAAAGCTATTTAATTATCATGTTTCTTCAAGAACTTGCTTTGATTTGCTGGGTCATCGCCGGCAGGTGGCCCGGGACGTGGACAAGCACCTGCAACGTGCTGGGGCAATGCGGATCCTGCCCTTTGAGGTACAAGATAGTACAGAGGGGGGTTCAGGTTCTTTTCTGAGACAGTGAGTGAAAGAGAGCGCGAAGACATACTGGGTTTTGCAAGCGTACCAACAGGCAACCCGCAGGGCTATGGGAGAACAACATGGGGAAGGGGTTTCTTACTTGGCAAAATCATGCAACATCTACATTATAAGGCCTATTTCAGGTCAAGGCTTGTGATGGCCTGTTCAACATTGTGCAACTGTCCCACAGCTGAGAATATAGATCCTGAAAACGGATTTGATTTAGTTGCTGTTTCCAAGTTCACATGTTGCGGCCACGTTCGCTTCGTTTTCTGGGCTCGCCTGAACCCACGGTCTTCTGCAGTCCATGCAGGTGGCCGACAAGAACGAAAGCTTCGAGCAATCGGTGCGTGCCTGGCGGAAGGTGGGCAGCACGAGTTGAAAGTGTAAAAGATAAGATAGGATGACGAACACCTGGAGGTGGGGATGGGTCTTTCTTTGGAGAAAAGACACAAGAGTGATTAGACAGAAGTTACTCTTTGAAATGACGTCCATTTGATGCTTCAATTCACGTACCACGGAACTGCAGGTGTGTTCAAGTGCGCTGTGTCCAAATCGTTCCAATGCCCATCCAATCCCTCCATGGATACCAAACGAACTTACGCCCTTGTACAAACAAGTTCTGCACCTTCAAGTCTGGGACGTTCCGCACTCCTCCCGGCAGTCCTCACTGGGCCATGGCCGGGATCTGCCAGGCGATCTTGTCGATGTTCGCCACCTCACCGGAGGAACTCATCTTGGAACATGACACCTAGCTGCAGACACTGTCGCTGGGTCGGTGGTTTCGTTGGTTGAAGGCAGGTGGTGATCAACCTGAACTATGCCTAGATGGGCTTAGTGATTCATAGTAAAGTCATCTCTTCAGTACAAGGAGATGTCAGACTTGAAGTCCAAGTCAGCCTTGGAAGGTCCTTGTTCCAAATCTTGGCTCGTTGCAAGGATGGGGACCAGTATGCGGAGGCGACTTGGACAGATTTTTGGAGCTGGAATTGTGCACGGGAACTGATTCACTCCACATGTGCTGCAGGGTGAGCACGTGATTTCATTGACAGATATTGACAGATATTGATATTGGTAGGCAAGAAGGAAAGTGGATGAGTTGTTCCCTCATTTCTGGACATTTCAGACATTACGGTAATTACCTGTCGTGCTGGAAGCCGTCAATGCTTTCCAGTCTTATCCTGTGTCTTTTTCCCCGAATGCGTAGCGAAGGGTTCTCGTTTAACTTTGGGGGTCTGGGGGTAGAGCCTTGTTCGCGAGGCGTGGTTTTAGCGTTCGCAACCGTCCGCAACCGTCCGCAAGTGAGTGCGGTAGGGTGCTAAGGCTGCTGCCATTGGGGGAAGCTTTTGGAGAGGGTTTCGGATTGACGTGTCAGATTCGTGTGAAATAGATTGAAATAGTGTGAGAACGTGTGGAAATGTAAGATGTTGAAGTGTGGAGGATGATTTCGCTGCGCAGGGGCAGCGTTTTGTGAGCTCCGCAGTTTTCTGCACAGTTCCATTGGGATTGGCGTCTGGAGAGTGGTGCTTTTGGGGTGTTGGATGTGGCCGTGCCATTGGGGTTTGCGTTTCAGGGTGTTGCGTCGAAGCTCTGTTTTCGTGACAAGTCTCAGCTGAAGTGGCGATTTTGGTGGATGGGAGTGTGCTCAGAACGGGTCGAAGCCATTCCAAACGTGTGGTGTGGTGCTTTGTTGAAGCTCACATGATATGATATTGTCACTTTTCGTGGCAGGCGCCGTACTTTGTGCGCGTTAGACGTGGACGCGGAAAGTTTCGTGGCAGGCACAGGGAATCGTGAGGTTGTGAGTTCTGAGTTGTGGTAGTAGAGGTGAATGTCGCTGTGACATTGGGATTGGCGTGTGCGCGGGTTGCGATGGGCCGTGCCACGGGGGAGCGCGAAACATGCTGGTATAAACACGGCATGTCGCTGGTGAGCGACAAGAGCGTCCCACAAGAGTGTCCGAGAATGTCCTAGAAGACGGGTGTCCCACAAGAGTGTCCCACAACAAGAGTGTCCCATAAGAGTGTCCCACAATAAGAGCCTCCTACAAGAGTCAAGAGTGTCCCGTAAGAGTGACCCACAAGAGTGTCCTACAAGAGTGTGGGCACCAAGAGTGTCCCACAAGATTGTTCCGTGAGAGTGCCCCACAACAGTGACCCACCGGAGTGTCCTACAACAGTGACCCACCGGAGTGTCCTACAAGAGTGCCCCACAAGAGTGTCCTACAAGAGTATCCCACAAGAGTGTCCCACAAGAGTGTCCC